GACTGTCAAATGACCATTTTGCCCCTGCAGTTGACTGTGAAGCAATTAGGGTTTTTGACTGTGCAACTTGATGCTGTGAGTCTTGAACCTTGACATATGGATGCTTGACAATGTATATGGGCATATGGGACTTGATTGGACCCTTGAAAACCTCAATTTCTTTGCAAGAACCAAAACCCTAATTTTGACTGTGTTAGAAGGCAATTGGACTGTGCAATCCTTGAGGGATTTTGAACCATTTGGAGATTGATCTTGGCAAATTTTGAAGAATATGGGAGGGCAAATTTTGGGGTACAACAATAGCATATGCATACGAAACACATATAGCACAATCTCATTTATTTTGAGAACATCATTACGCAATGCATTTCATACATCATGACATTGCATATAGATAACTCTTTACCTTTTCAGGAAATATTAAATCAACCATAAATTTATTCTGATACTTCTTCCAGTTAAAGACAAAAAGACCTCTTCTGGCTCAGATTAAATCAAGTGTAGATTTATTCTGATACTTCTTCCAGATAAAGACAGGCGTAGACATCTTCTGGCTCAGATCAAATCAAGCATAGATTTATTCTGATACTTCTTCCAGTAGATATTTTCTGGCTCATATTAAATCAACCATAGATTTATTCTGATACTTCTTCCAGTTAAAGACAAAAAGACCTCTTTTGGCTCAGATTAAATCGAGTGTAGATTTATTCTGATACTTCTTCCAGTTAAAGACAGATGCAAACATCTTTTGGCTCAGATTAAATCAAGCGTAGATTTGTTCTGATACTTTTTCCAATAGACATTTTCTGGCTCGGATTAAATCAACCATAGATTTATTCTGATACTTCTTCCATTTAAAAACAAAAAGACCTCTTCTGGCTCAGATTAAATTGAGCATAGATTTATTATGATATTTATCCTAGTTAAAAATGGGCATAGACCTCTTATGGCTCAGATTAAATCGAGCATAGATTTATTTTGATACTTCTTCCAGTTGAAGTCGAGTGTAGACTTAGTCTAATTTCTATCAACGGTTACTTTGGATGGAATCTATAAGCCCGTCTCTAATGACTCACTATTGCCTCTCCAAATGACATATTTAAGTCCATTCCCGATATAATCAACCATCAGAGTCACTTCTTGCACCGGCGAGTGCAAATTTATGGGCACTTAATTGTTCAATCATCTTCTACCTTTAAGTCAAAAATGACAGAAATGCTAATCTAACTCTTCAGTTGTTGTACCCAAAAATTTGTCCTACCATTTTCTTCAAAACATGTTCACAAAGGTCTCAAATACTCAAAGCTACTCAAGAGTTGACTGGTCAAACCTCCTCCTGAGAAAGGGTCCACAACTAGGGTTTTGTGCTTCTCAAAGAAGATTAGGTTTCAAGGGTATCAAATGAATTTCATGGTTCATCATGGGTCCTCAATAATGCTTATGTCAAGCTTCAAGTCTTGCATCACATGTTTGCTCAGTCAATGGCTTAGAAGATTGAAAGTCAATTGTATTAGGAAATAAGTCAAGTATGGTCAACATACAGTCAAACTTCAAGATTTTTTGTAAACATAAATATTTTGAGGTGATATTCATCATTTTATCAAGGATTGATCATGATTCCTCAAGGAAAGCCCTCAAATCATCAAAGGTCAAAAATTGCCAAATTAGGGTTTTTATTGAAGATGACTGATCATTGACTTTTGGCCTAGTGCATGATCTAATGGCTTAAAGCATGATCTCAAGGGCTCAAATACAACATCTTGACCTAATTACATGGCTCAAGACATTTCCAAAGATACAAGTGATTGATAGTTGAAGAATTGAATCAATTGATAAAAAGTCAACAGTCATATAAAAGTCAAACTTTGACTTTTTGGTCAACATTGGAATTCAAAAATCAAGAATCATCAAAACATTCAAAGCTATCAAGTTTGAACATCAAGAATTAACAAAGTCAAGAAAATCAAGAAAAAAGTCAACAAAAGTCAAAAGTTGGAAAATTTTCCAACACTTAGAAAAATTTCTAAGTGTTTTGTTCTTAACAAAGTTACTACTTTATGGCCATTTTTCACTGAGATCCAAATTGATTCAGCAAAAACTTTCAACATAAATGTTGTAGGGAATGAAAAGTTCTACAACTTTGTTAATGATAGTTGATCTCCAAAAAGTGCTCAAATTAAGAGATATAAGCATGTGAAATTCTGCCAATAATTGGAGAAATTTATCAAACAGCTTTGACATCAAAAAGTGACCAACTTCATGGCATTTTTTACCAAGATCCCGATTGATTCAACAAAAGTGTTCAACATGAAAGTTGTAGAAAATGTTTCAAGCTTTCCAAAATGTCCAAGAGCATTAATTTCTCATACTTGAGTAAGATGTTTCGAAGAGATGAAGTTGGGCATCCATACTTGAATTATAGGTCATTTCTTTTGAAGACCTTATGGCCAAAACTCCAACCAAAGCTACAAGATCTCTCTTTTCAGGCTATGTTATCTCTAAATCTCTCCATAATTAAGTAATTACACAGGCCCTAAGTGTGTTACACAAGGATTTGAAGCTTTGTCCAAGTCTTGATGCCATTTTTGGATGAATTTGCATAAAGTTACTTTGCCTCTTTGATAAAGCAAGCTTTATGTCAACAACTCCTCACTTAAGCTTGTAACTTGCTCCTAATCAGATCACACAAAATCTCAAAATCAGAATCAACCTCTAGAGGTCAGCAAAAGCATGGAAAATCCCTTGAATCACTCCCTTTCTTCATCATGAAGCAACATGCTTTTTTCTGCATTTTCAAACCAAACCATAACTCTTCAACTTTCAAAATTAATGTTCTCATTCCTTCCAACCTTTCCATATAAATAGAGGTCATCCTTGCACTTATGAACCATGAATTCACAACCTAAACACTCCTTCTATCTCTCCAAAACCAGAATAACAACATTGTTCCAACTTTGAAGCTCAAAGTCCATTTCTTCAAATTTTTAAACCCTTGCATTTTCTGTGAAAACCAATCATCTAAACACTTTATAAACATCATTTAGAAGTTGTTCATCACTTCCATTCACCTCTGAAACACCTCTAACCCATAAACACTCTCAAAACCACCACTGTTTCACATTTGAAGCTTCCAGCATCCAACTTCAAATTCACTCGTGCGTTTTCCTCTTTTATCCTTCAAACACCTTAGGTACATCATATAGAAGTTGTCCAAACACATGAACAACTTCTGGAACATCTCCATCATCATCTTCCATTCTCAAAGCTGAGCTCTGCACATTGAGTTGGGAAGGATGATTCATTGAGTCTCAAGGAAATTTAGGCATTGGAACACGTTCAGGGAGCTTCAAGGAAGCTTTTAGCATCATTTATTTTCACCTAGAAGCATCCATACACGTTCTGAGTTTTCACTTCAAGAGGTAAGTTTTCCAAATTGTGATATCTTCATACAAGCATCATTAGCATATACTTTCTGAAGATAAAATGTAGACATCATGTTACTGAAGCTAACCATATCCTTAAATCTCATTTTAATTGATTGTGTGATGAGAATTTTGAAACTGAATTTTTCTAGGGTTTATTTGGTACAAACAAAATTCGCACTCATCTATGATTTATAGCTTAAATAATTTACATGGTTGGATTCCTTGTTAAAAATCAAGCAAGTTTGGTGTTTGAAGTTTTTAAAATGGTTGAGAAATGAGAGCTTTCGAAAATCAACAATGGTGGTGTAGGGGGTCTGTTTGCACAAGGGAGATGAAGATGGAATTTTAAAATTTTTAAAATTGAGTTCATATTATATTGAATGGGGGGTGTTTCATAAGTGGATGAAACAGCCACCCCAGTGGTATACATAACGCTCCTGTAACCTCTAGGTCTCGGGTATGAATCCCCCTCTGTAATACCCCAAATTTGTCCCACCCTTTTACTTTTATTTGGCTTATAAATTGTCACACTTTTCTCATGTACATAACTCTATTAGGTCATTTAAAATTGCATACATTCACTAACAACATAACTTGGCAAGGGGTCGAGAACCTTCAGGAATTAGGGTTCCAATATCGGTTTTTCAGTAGAGATTGCTTTGAGCTAGGGTTTGGGTCTTCTTCACTATTTCGAGCCTCATCATCCATCTCCAAGAGTTCTTTAAGCCAGTTATATTATGGGCTCTGCAAGTCAAGATATCTTTGAAGATTAAGGTGCAAAAGTTTTGAGTTATGATACAAAGATGTTGTTGTGGAATCATATGGTGATCAAGATGTTGTTGTTATTTGTTGCTTCTAGTACAAGTCATTCAATTAGATTTCATTCAGGAGACTCTACATTATGTATGGAAATTCATAAGGACCAGGGTTTGAGAAGCAGTATCTGTGTTGCAATCACCACTTGGTTGGGGTTCTTTTCAGTGCGCTTATGTTATCAAGGGAATTCGATTTTGTCTAGCCATAATTATCATAGGGTTTAGTTTAACGTATTAAGGTCTTGCTTGGTTCCTATCATCATTTGAAGTTTGGTTCAATTGAGTTTATTATCATCAATTCAAATATTGGTTCAAGACATTTACTTTGGACCTTATGCAAATATTTGAGGTTTTACATGGAGTATTTTGGGGATCTTTTCTAAGAAGGAAGTCATTTGTGCAAGCCTTGACTCTTAGTCACAGTCAACCACGAAAGGTGGACCTTTGACTAATGTATTTTTAGTCACTTTTGGTTTTCATCTCGTGGTTTATCTAAGTGTAGCATGGCATGGCATAAAGTACAAATGGGAGAAGACTTGAAATTTTAAATGAAACAACAATGGATGAAAAATAACTCAACTTGATTAAAGTTTTGTTTATTACAAATTCAAGGATGCATTATAACTTTGACCAAAATATTTACATGTTTAAATAACTCCAAATCAAAGTTTCCATTACAAAAACCATTTCAAGTCATATTCAACATCACCTGCAAATCCAATTACAATTACATTACACCAAAGATATCATACAAAAAAAATTAGGTATTGGCAGTAAATGATAGTTGTTCCTCTTCAAAGTCAAATATGACACTTGTTTCAGATTCCTTGATACTGAGATGGATAACACTGGATAATGCTCTTCCTCGGGTGTAATAGGAATTGATGTTGCAAGTAAAGAAAACATAATTGCCATCTTCAAGCCCTGCACATAATCAAATAAACCATAAACATAAATTAGACCATTTTGCAACCTAATCATATACTTAGGGCTATGCTGAAGCAGTTCATCGTTTTTACAAGCCTGCATAAACTGATACTTATTAGCTAAACTACAATTCTGAACCAGCGGTACAATATCTTAAAGAAGAAATAAAATTTGCAGAAAAATCTGAAACAGTCAGCTCAACATAAACTAACATAGTTAGCTAATAGAGTCCAAAACTAATTCTCTAACCTTTCTACTGCACCATTCAGTTTACAACAGGATTTCTAACTTCCTCTAACCGTAACCAACTGTCTAAAAGGCTTACTAAGTATTTCTAAACAGAAATTACAACAGAAAATATGAGATATTTTCTAACCAATAGCAAAACCAATTCCATCCCCTTCTATTAGCAAAACTAACTCCCTAACAACAATAACAAACTCATAACCCTTCTAACAACCATGACTAACTCCCTCTCCTAACCAAACAAAATTTTTTGTAACTAATTTTCCAATCAATTCACGATTCCCAACCAAGTCTAACAGAATTAAATTACCCTGCAAACTGTCAACAGAATAATAACAGAATTTCTCTCACCCAACTAACGTCCAAAACTACAAACTCTCACTAACATAACCGTTTCTAATCATAGCCACTCTCTTAAACTGCAAAAATCCCAAGAGATCATAACAGATTGAAAAAGAAAAAAGAGAGGAAAGAGAGAGGCAATATAATACATAACAGCAATTCACACGGAAAAGGGGGGAATTACCAGGAAAATCCTCAAAAAAATCTCCCTGCACTCTCACTGCATAAACTCTGTTATCTTCTTCAACCTTCATCAACGCGAACAAGGCTTCTCTCCACCATCGACGTGAGCGCAAAGATTTTGCAAACGATTATTTCTACAACACACAGAAAACTGAGAGAAGAAATTTAGAGGGGTGTGATTATTCATAACAGAAAACTCCAACAGAAGTCGGGAGAGGAAACTCATAAGAGAGATATATGATTATTCAGAAGAAGAACTCACCAAAAATCGCTCTTCAAATTGCTTGGAGTTTCTTCCACACCCGTGCAACGATTCTCCATCAACTCTGTAATAATCTTCATCAATCTCATTTCTGCGAACAACAATCTTCAATTTCTCAAGAACGCGTCATCTTCAACTTTATGTTCACCACTCATGTTCCCTGCATCAAACAACAACGAAATTTCATCATCATCAAATCAAAATCTTCATCAACTCTACATTTTCAATCATCAATAAATTTCATCAGAAGCTCATTATTCTTCATCTCTTTGGCTTCATTGCTCAAATATCACTGAACCTAGAACAACACCGCTGAATTCGCATCAACGATCTGAACTCCATAACATCGCAACAAAAATTGCAGAAGGAAAAGGTTTATGGTGCTTTAGGATTTCACAATCGATAAATCATGATGATGAAGCCGGAATCAGAAGGAGATGGTGAATTAAATGATGAGTCCGAATCAAAGAAGAAGGTAGAGGTACAAAGAGATGAGGCTGAGGCTGGATTTGACAATAGTGATTGTTGACTCCAAGTGGTATTTGATGGCATCGACGCCGTTGGAAAGCGGAATATGTTTGTGGAGAAGATGAAGGAACCCTAATACGATAGGTTATTGGACCGGATTGTGGCCATAAGCCCGTGCTACGCTTGTTTTTGTTGGGAATGGGAATTGCACAAAAAAAAGTGTTATTGGATTTTTGCTATTAGGCTTAGTGCTTCATTCTAATTGCTGGAAAATACATCTTGATTCTATTCTTTCACCCCCTGAACTCTTTACATTTTCGTTTTATTAATTTCCTTTTATTGTTTTTTTTGTTAATTTTATTGCATGACCAAATAACCAAAAATAGTTATTATATTTTAGGAAATATTTTAGAATTCTTAGGTTTTATCTTTAGAATTTTATTAGAATTTTCTATTATTACTTTTATATTTGGTAATCAATTTGGTTTCCCTTTTTAGCCAAGATTTTGTGATAGAATTTCGATGTAACTTTCACAATGTGGAATGCTCGGGGATTAATTCTTTGATCACTCGCGTGGAGCGACTTTTGGTAGAGTTTTCTTGTTGCTTGCATGGTTTTGAAGAGGCAACGAACCTTCTCCGTTCGGTATCATCGCGACCTTATTTTGTTCCCCATTTTCGCACTTTATTGCTTTCTAGATACCATGAGAAGTAGGAAATAAAGAGCGTGTGCTCGAAGTCGCTGTTTAAAGACTTGTAGTAGACATTCCACACTTCATTTGCTATATGTGTTGTGCTTGTGTTTGTTTACTTTCTTGTTGATCAATGAGTCACTCAATTTAGAAATTGAGATCACGACTTCGCTCTCAGTGCATGCTCCCTATAGGATTTTATCGCTTTCCTTTATTTCTTGACGATCAATGAGTCACTCAATTTAGAAATTGAGATCAAGACTTCGCTCTCATTGCATGTTCCCTATAGGATAGTTTTGTTAGACTTTCTTTGGCATGTTGACTTAAATAGGATCTATTTAGGTGTGCTCTTGAGCTTATTAGCTTGTTTTCTTCGTCCTCGTACATACCATGTTCCCTTAGGATGCACTTGCTCCGTTCGGATACAAGTTAGACCTTAGGTTGCAAACCATGCATGCTAACATTAGGTAGGAACTTCCCCTTTCATCCTTGACTTAGGGCTACCATTGTATGATAACATTAGGTTAGAAGTAGACTAGTCTCCCTTAGACTCGTTTCTTTCCCTTTTCGCATCCTTGTATTCAAAACTAAAATCTTCTTTCCTTAGCAAATCAAAAACATGCTAATCATACTTAAACCCTTTTTCAAGGTAATAAAACACAAACCAACTCAAAACCATTTTATGGGCTTGAGCACCTTTTCTCTAAAAACCCTTTTCAGGTAAGGACATGATTAATTTACTTCTGTGCCAACGCATAAGTCTCCAAAGGTCGAGCTGCGGCCGAAGGAGGAATTAACTTCATCCATAAAAAACACAAACAAAAAAAAAATGTGAGCCGAACTACGGTAGCTCTAATTCCTCAAAAAGGATACGTAGGCATTGAGGTAGGGCCCAAGCAAGCACAATTTTATTTTCCCTACATTCTTTTTTCCCTTTCTTTTGCATGAATTCTCCCTTTAGTAGTATATTAAACAGTAAGCATAGATTAAACACACTCATAAGATAGACAACAAGAGTGGATACCGTATAGTACTACGGGCGTGTGGGGTGCTAATACCTTCCCCTCGCGTAACAGACTCCCTTACCCGATCTCTCGGTCGCAAGACCGTGACTTCTCCCTTCTCAGGTTTTCTCGATGTTTATCTTTCCCTACATGTGGAATAAAAGACGTTTGATGGTAACTTCATTGTTTGATGATTTTCAGCCGGTTGTTTTAGCTGGCGACTTCATTGGGGACTAGGTCGACCAAATGCTGGTCCATCCTGGAATCGCTCCTAGCTCTTGTTTCTTTTCTTTGGGTGTTTATTTTTATGCTTTCAGTTTATTCACTCATTTTGTATATACTTGAGCATATGTATGCATTGCATTTTACTGTCTTCCATATAATACTATTATACTGGATCTGCTTCTTATTGGGTGGGTGCTACTATGAGGTAAAAGGCCCAATACCCAGGCCAGAGTTGTATATCATAGGAACCCTAGGAATATAGTGGAACATGAATAGCTAGTTGACTTAGGTCTCACTATCTCCGCCATGTCGTCCACGCTCAGATGTGGTACAAATGAGGGGATATAGTTTTCACATAGGTGATACGGCGATAGTTTTCTCAGGAGTATCCTCGATTCTGAGTTACCACGACCTTACCATGACCTAGTTTTCACCTGTGAGTGGGGATGGAATTATTATCAGAGGTACAGATGGTGATTATGCTCAGTTGGTGACTATGTTCAGATGGTTGCTCATATTCAGATGGTGACTATGCTCAGACGGTGACTATTGGTTCTAATGGTTATGTTCTGGATTTTTGTCAGTGACTTATTCAGATGCTATATTCTGTTGGTGACTGTATGGTTCTCAGATTTATTTTCTGAGTTCCTGACTTGTTTACCTGGAGATTTATCCAAGCCCTCGATCTTGGTATTCCCAGCATATTTAGAAAAGGTTCAACAATATCTGATGTTCCAGAATCCTTGATCCCTTGTTATTGATGATCTATATGGTACTTGGTTCTTATATGTGCGGAAGCTATGTCGGACCTTTGACTTGATGATACTCATATGATCCTGAATAGTGCAACAATCATGTTCATGAATGATGGAACCTTGATCCCATTTGATCCCATGCCTTTGCATACATAACATGGTTAACCACATGCTTAACATACATGTTCTATTATTTCCAAGGAATCACATTTGTAAGTCTTGTGCTAAACTCTTCCATCCCTTACTTGCGCAAAATCAAAATCAAAGCACGTAAATTCCTTGGAAATGATAGAAAATGACATGCCATTCATTCATGCACCCCATGCATATTCATACATTCATAACAGGTACCCGAAGATTGGGGATTCTTATTCAGGCCTGATATTCTCTTCAAAGGTTTAACTTGATTTCTCACCACATATGTTCAGAGATCAGTTATGGAATAACTCTGAGTGGTACATGCAAGCTTTGGCTCGTGGTCATAAATTTCTTCGAACAGGAAGATAATTGATTAAAGACTCAGATGAGCCAAGTCATGAAAGCTCTGATAATGATGTCAATAATCTTTCCCTTATTGCTTCAGCAGGTCCCCTCTTCTCCTCATCTTTTGGGAATTACTTTCAATCATGGAGTGCTACACAATCTTTAGTTCTTGGAGCATCTTATCAGCAGATGGTTCACATTTATTGTGGGATCTTATATCAATGCTTTGTTCTTGTTGATACCAACGTCAGACGTGGTTACTACGCTGGAGCATCTGACAATTCAATCAGGGGCACTCCCCACAGCTTTGTGTTCCATGATCTGTTCGACAGCAACCAATCTTTATTCCCCAAGTGAATTCATGGGGAGAAGTTTTTAAGCCAAGACAAAAGAAGTCGGGTGAGCATATTGATGCGATCCCAGTGCATTACATCCAGTTATTTCCTCATCCGGTGGAAGTTCAATTGGTAAAGCTCTGATCTTTGGGGTCCTCTTCCCACAAACATCTCTTCTGATTGCAATACACATGCTAGATGTATCCCCTATTCTGGGGCACCCAGTTTAGATATCGAAGACTATAAAGGGGTTGGAGTATAAAGCCCAGCACCTGTCTGGCGTCTACTCCAGAAGTTCAATTCCTATTTAGCCAATTGCCAGGATCTTTCTCATGAGTTGGATGTCTCTGTTGTTCTTATAGAAGACAAATTTTATTGTTCCTTTATAGCGCAAGATGACTTGGTGATGCAATTTATACCAATTCGCTCGATAAAGAATTCATTCGTTCTCCTGAAAGAATCTTCTATGCATATTATACTGGGGCACCTGGCCATTCGATTGAAGGTATGTCATCCAGAGACAGAGTCCAAGACAAGATCAATTCAAAATTGTCATGTTCACATCAGATCTGAAGGGGATTCTCCCTCCCACTCAAGCATCAAGACTGCAGAAAGTCGTCAGAATTAAGAAATCCATACGGAGTCAAGTCTCCTCAAAGATGGCAATCATTGGTTTCTTTATTGCATTTTCATTTGCATTCTTGCTTGTTTGTTTAAACATTGTTTGTATATATAAACTTGTCTATTTTTGAACGAAAATCTTAATGCAATAAGTATGCTTGTCTTGAAGTGTTCCTTTCATTTTTACTCATCCATTTGTTATCACTCCTTAAATGTTTTACTTGCATATTGATGTCGATTTTCCAAGTCTTATGCTTAGGTAAAGATTGGAGGGAGGGTGACGATAATCTAAAAACACAAAAATCTTTGGTTGGTATGATTTTGAGTAAGACCCTGCTAAAGATGTACATGCCTTGTTTAAATTCCTAAACACTAGAGATATAAGGGAGATAGAACCTCGTTAACCCCTCTGAGCCTTCGAAGTAGGAGTTTCTTTTCTGTTCAGAAAAAACCCTCATTTTAACCTTGGGGCGGGTAGTGTTCAGTTAATATGATCAAGCGTTCAT